AGAGTTTTGACCGCCTCCACCGGTCTTCTGGCAAATCCTCTGTGGGACGCATGCCACACATTTTGCCCGCAGATGCATCGCTCTTCGGCGTGTGGCAGAAAGGAGGAGGGGGTGGCGAAATGGCGGAGTGGCCGGGGCAGCCAGGCCCAGTGTGCCCAGTGGCCAGACCCTTGCTTTGTTCGCCTTTGGCTCCGCGTGCCGTTTATTTCATGTCATTTGGCACATCTGCCAATCGCGAGATCCCGTCGAAGGCGACAGACTGACGGACTTTCACCGCCACACACCGTCGCGTCGCGTCGTGCCCTCACGTCCCCGGGGAGTAGGATGGGCTGCCTACCGCCACGGCGGCGGCTTTGCTTCCTTTGTTTTCCACCGGCACGCCCAAGGACTTCCCCGACGACGCACAGTGGGCCAGAAGACCGGCGGAGCGGCCAAAATTCTAGCCGCGTTTTGAGCTCCAGAGTCGCTGAATGGGACTCGAACCGAACGTGTGACGCCACCAATGGATTGCTCTCCGAACGGGGAATCCATTGGTGGGGTCACAGGTTCGGTTGGTGTCCCATTCAGCGACTCTGGGGCTCAAAACGCGTCTCGAATTTTGGCCGCTCCACCGGTCTTCTGGCTCACTGTGCGACGGCCTCACCTGGAACACGGACTGCGGGACGTCCACGCCGATGTTGACGGGCACCCTGGACGCCGAGGCTTGTTGTTGTTGTTGTTGCTGCTGCTGTTGTTGTTGCTGCTGCTCCCGCCTCTCCTGCTGCATCTGCTGCTCCCGCATGAGCTGCAGCTTCATCTGCGTCCGCAGCGGCATGGAGGAGTGCTTGAAGGACGGCGGCCTGGACAAGCACAGTTCAAAACAAATAACTTTCGTTGCCACCCCGTGGTGTCACGAAGTGGTTACGTAACCTTTCACCAGAAGTCAGTCGCCGCGTGAGGTACTGCACGGCGCACAGTGGGCCAGAAGACCGGTGGAGACGAACAGAACTCTAGACGCGTTTTGAGCTCCAAAATAGCTAAATGGGACTCGAACCGAACGTGTGACCCCACCAATGGATTGCTCTCCGAACGAGGAATCCATTGGTGGGGTCACACGTTCGGTTCGAGTCCCATTTAGCGACTCTGGAGCTCAAAACGCGTCTAGAGTTTCGGCCGCCTCCACCGGTCTTCCGGCCCACTGTGCGGCGGCTCAGTGACTCACCCCCTGGGCGGCAGCCTGCTGAACCGCGGGCTGGTCTGCTGCGGCAGGGCGCCGGCCAGGCCGGCCAGGTCGCCGGGCACCGCGGGCAGTGGCGGCTGCGGCGGCACCATGTCCACGATGCTGGGGTCCATGTCCAGGATCATCTTGAGGTCCTCGTCGATGCCGACGTGCACGCGGATCGAGTCGGGCCTGGCCGGCGGCAGCGCTGGCAGGCGGGCGTCTCCCTGCAGGATGAGCCTGTCGATCATGTCGCCCAGGTCCTGCTGCTCGCGGCGCTGCTGCAGACCCTCCAGGCCGCGCGCGCCGCCATGCTGCTGGAGGCGCTGCTCCAAGTGCTGCTCGAAGTGCCGCTGCGAGGCCGCCTGCGCGCTGCCCGTCACAATCATGGTCGCCTCATGGCACTCGGGGCCCTCATGGCATCGGAATCCGGCCGCCTGGGCCGAGGCCTGGGCAGAGCGAGAAAATGCATGTTCAGAACGGAAGCAGCGAAGCACGGCCAGCTCGGTTTTAGTTTTTATCGACGGACGCTTAGGGATGAATCACTATAGTGCTGCCACACTAGCACAGGAAAAAATTCGCACTTGTTGGCAACCCTTTCGACAGTGGTGCATGGCGGGAAGTGTGGCAGCACTGAGCGGAAGCGGCGCGAAACACTGCACGCAGTGCCGCCGCACAGCTGCCGGGCAAACCAAACTTTAAAGACAGATGCTCATTTCGAACAGTTCGCTGTGTCTTCGTTTTACTCCGCCTGCCTTCGCGTCTTCGGCCTGTTCGCGCGCGGCCGCTGCATCCAAGGGTCCATTGTGTTAGGTCCCAACGACGTAAGATGAGTCGCACACCGGCAGAGCCATGGGCAGAGCCAGCCAAGCCGGCAACCAGTCCGGTGCTCGCGGCGAAGCGACAGTGTGCCAGGAGCGGCCTGCAGACTGCGACGAAAAAAACGACTCTCAGCCTGCAAGGAGGCACTAATCTGCCTCGTATTTGGGGCTAATAATACCCCGAGAGCAGTCCATTCAAATACGCGGCGAGTATTTTTGGCTTCCAAAACAAAGCGCGCCAACCGCCTGGCTGCCTGCTGCATGCAGGCGTGCCGCCGACAGGCACGACAGGCACCTACACTACAGGTACGCCGCCCTTTCAGAATCGTTGCTGCTCGCCTGTTCGGCGGCACAGTCACAATTACTCCTTTCTCCCCAGGACGCGTCCCAAAACACAGTCGCTGCAATCGCGGTGCTGTACTGTACACTGTTACTCTCGGTGCTCGCGCGTTATCCCAGCTTGCATGCAGCCTCCACTGCGCCGAACCGCGTGTCTGGCCCCAGTCGTGCAGGCTGGCCAACCCTGTCGGTCCCGGTGGGAGCGACAGAGACAGACAGCCCTACGCACAGTGGGCCAGAAGACCGGAGGAGGCGGACATAACACTAGACGCGTTTTGAGCTCTAGAGTCGCTGAATGGGACTCGAACCGGGCGTGTGACCCTACCAACGGATTGCTCTCCGAACGAGGAATCCATTGGTGGGGTCACACGTTCGGTTCGAGGCCTGTTTAGCGACTCTGGAGCTCAAAACGCGTCTACTCTGCAAACTGTACAGAGTGCTCAGTACACTCTATTTGGAGTGTACTCATAAGCACACTCAGGCGAGAGTGTGCTCAGCTGAGTACACTCTAACGAGAGTGTGCTTAGCTGAGTACACTCTAACGAAAGTGTGCTTAGCTGAGTACACTCTAACGAGAGTGTGCTTAAGTCTGCACAATTCATGCAGCTGAGTACACGTTCGTGGGAGTGTACTCGTGAGTACACGCTGAAGAGAGTGTACTCATGAGTACACGCTAAAGATAGTGTACTCATGAGTACACTCTAAAGAGAGTGTACTGAGTACACTGTTGAGTTTGCAGAGTAGAGTTTTGGCCGCCTGCACCGGTCTTCTGGCCCACTGTGCTACGGGCCGCACGGTAAGGCAAGGCAAGTCCGCGCACGGCAGGCGGCGGCGGCAGCAGGCCCTGACAGTGTGCCTGGCAGGAAGCCCTGAAATCCCGAAGCGCACCCGAACCCGACTATTTTTACTTGGTCGTGGTCGGGGCCATCTTGGCGGAGAGGGAAAGGAAGGCGGTGGAGTGGGGAGGGGGAGGGCCTCGGAGAGCGTGCGATTATTTACAAGGCGAAGGACGCGGAGTCGACGGGGTGCAGTCGCTGATCAAAACGATGCATCAGACGCATTTAAACGCCGGCGTCACAACACGTGTTGGCGGCGGTCTCACGGGAAGTGCGGCTTGATTTCAAACACCGCTCAACGTTTGGTTTACAGTCGCAATGCACGGCCCCTCCCCATCGCCAAAAAAAAACATACTCAAAAATAAGGGTAGTACCGTTTACGTTATTGTTTTTTTGCCATCAAGGAGCGTGAGAAGCCCAAAAGAGGACCGTCTGGCTGGTCTGGCCTTGCGCAGCACGCTGACAGTGTGGTAGTGGCTGACAGCAGGGCCGGCGCAGGCTCACACAGACATCCGCATCTCATAATCCCACGTCCCCTACCCCCTATCGCTTCAAACTAAACCGATCTCGACGAAGGCCTTGTCGTCCTAATACACCCTCCGTATGACAAGGTGCGCACAGTGGGCCAGAAGACGGGTGGAGGCGGACAAAACTCTAGACGCGTTTTGAGCTCCAGAGTCGCTAATCAGGCCTCGAACCGAACGTGTGACCCCACCAATGGATTGCTCGTTCGGAGAGCAATCCGTTGGTAGGGTCACACGCCCGGTTCGAGTCCCATTCAGCGACTCTGGAGCTCAAAACGCGCATAGAGTTTTGCCCGCCTCCACCGGTCTTCTGGCCCACTGTGCGGGCCTCACACGCGAGGTGAGGCGCGAGTCTTGGCAGGCGGCGGCCGCCGGCTCCCTTCAAACAGACGCTAAAACTCACCGTCAAAATATTTCGGCTGATGACACTTCCGGCTGTGAACGGCACGGCGCCGCTCGCGCAACCAGCAGCCTCGCCTCGCCTTGTCGACAGTCCGTCCCGCCTACGCGCAGCGCGCGCGCCACCGGGGCGACCCTAGGGCGGCCGGCCACGCGGAGCCACGCGGAGCGAGCGTTGTCGGCTCCGACTGTAGCGCGCAGCGCGCCCAGCCGGCGTCGGCAAGCTTGCGGCGGCCGCGCCGCGTCGCCGAAGATGCGCGTCGGTTCCAAAGCTCGCAGAGCTCGCGGTGCTCCAGAAGGTCGAGCTGCAGGAGTGCAGGACGTCCAGGGCGGTCGCGGTGTCGCGGTGGTCGACGGCGACGTGCTCGCAGTGCTAGCGCGGGGAAGGCCCGACCATCCCGTCGACGCCGCGCGCGCCAACTGGTGCAGGGCGCCAGCGCGGTCCTGGGCGTCGCGGGCCGCGTGCGGAGCGCTGCCGAGCCGCCGCCCCGCCGCGCGCTATCTCTCTCGCACTCGCGGCGGGCGGCGTCACTGACGGCACTGCCGTCCCACAGTGGGCCAGAAGACCGGTGGAGGCGGCCAAAACTCTAGACGCGTTTTTAGCTCCAGAGTCGCTAAATGTGACTCGAATCAAACGTGTGACCCCACCAATGGATTCCTCGTTCGGAGAGCAATCCATTGGTGGGGTCACACGTCCGGTTCGAGTCCCATTTAGCGACCCTGGAGCCTAAAACGGGTCTAGAGTTTTGGCCGTCTCCACCGGTCTTCTGGCCCACCGTGCGTCGCGGACGCGGGCCGCCGCTGACAGGGCCGCGCACTGCTTGGGTACGGCCAGCGCGCATCCCCGGGGGAACAGGGCGCGAGTTCAGAGACCACACACAGGTTAACATAGAAATTTTATTGAAATATATTCAGATCTACCCATCTCGACATGAGCCCGCCTCAATTCCAAAATACATCTGCTAAAACCGAACAGATCTTAAGTAAACAGGTATTGCTGAAGGTATTGAGAAATATACATTAAAGTTCTTAAAAGGTCAGGTGAATTTCTATCGCAGGGAGCCAATAACAAAGGGAGAAAAATCAAAGACTACACTACAAAATTTGCAGACACGCTGAATTTGAATTTTGTCTTTTAGGAAATATTTTTAAAGCCTGATCAAATTGACTAGAAAGGTCATCATGTCATAATCGGGTTGCCTCTGCCAATATAGCTCAAGAAACTTGAAATGTTGCAAACTCTGACCATTAACACATTGCTATTGAAACACCTCATCATTTAGTGTGTCTCCACTGCCAGTTTAGTACACTCCTAATCAGCCTTATGAGAAGATTGGTTCTGCATATCAACAAAGCGAGAGTGAGATAAACATCCCATTTTACTTCTTGAGTATCCAAGAACAGTTTTGAATGTATCATAGTGCTGACTAAAATTGCCTTTAAATGAGAAGCTGGGATAAAAAATAAACTAAATTTGTGAGAGGTGTCTGCTGAGACTACTGTTTGAAATGGACACACCTAAATTTAATGTGCAGACCTAAATATTATCATATTCTTCTCTTGATACGCAGACTTGCATTGATTGAGATCGCCACAGTCAGACCGGACATTACATAACATGATATGTCAAGTAAACTGAAACACTTAAGAAGTAAATTTGCAAATATATTCTGAGAAAACTTCAAAAATATTCATAATAGAATTATTTCCTATAACACATTTTGGAAAGACAAGTGCTGTATTCATAAAACAAGATAAATAGCAAGGTGCAACTAAGATCTGCACAATCTCACACAATTTCATTCATAGAATGCCTGTCCTAATCAGCAATATTGACCATATGACAATAAAACATGCCTTATTGTTAAGTATGCAGTCCTTTTAAGTTACAAATAACACAGTTCTTTTATGTTTTAATAAAGCAATAGAGTTTTAAGAAGGAGAAAAACCACACAATACCCTCTTCTTTTCGACTGATACAGGGAGATTCACAAGTGCGAAAAGTTAGAAGCATAAATCTAACTTTACCCTCTAAGGACCTATGGCACAACTCAAAAAGAATATTACAAAAGGTATCTATCTAAGACTTCCAAATGATTATGTAACAATGTTGGAAATGGCAGGCAGTAGTCGTTGCTCTGTCTTTTAAAATGTCTTTTAATTAACTAGACGAAAGTACTCATCACAGAGTAAAACACAAAGCTGTGTGATCTAATAATATAATAAACATCAAGTCCCACCTGACAACTGCATTGATTTTCATCTCACTTTTAGTCACTAATTTAACCAAATTTTACTTGAGGATCGAGTATATTAGTGACATACCCCATCCTTTTCCCCGCCCCGCCCCGCCCCCCCCCCAAAAAAAAAAAAAAGTTTCATATTCATTTCGATCTTACCATTCCCACTTTAACATAATTCGGAAGAGCACATAATGGAGAAAAAAAACATAAAGAACCCACACAACAGTTCACAACAAGGTAAAATTAGAAAAACTGTATATAAATTATACATTAATAAAAAGTCATTCATTAAGTTACTTACATGTAAATCAACATTAAAACTGTGGTATAAAAGGTACATCTATAAACAAAAACATTGCTAAGAAATGATTTGTCATGGTCAAACACAAATTATGGGTCATGGACAAAACACTAACACATTATAATTTAATAAAATAATATCATTCCACAGCAGACCACTTTATATAGAGCCCTTGGATACTAAGAACTCTATGTTAATACAGTCTCAATACAAAAGTATACCCCACCAGGCTTGTCACTGAACACATCCTTGTGTAGTGTTTGTTTGGTAACTACAATTGTTAAATTTAAATTTATTTTTGGTGAAACAAAAATATAGTAGACACTATGCAGCATTCTTTCAAAGAGGAACCCCAACAGATAATTAAATACCTTCCAAAATATTGAATTTCCCTTTGTTATCAAACCCTTTGCTTACAAAGAAGAGCCAATTCATGCACAAAGTTCCCAAAACTCAAAGCTTAGTAAGTATCTATGAGATATAATACTAAAAGGGACACACTTATCAGCAGCCATTGTAATTGGTGAATATCATGCTAAACCAAATTAACACCATAAAACAGCTTTCTTTTTGTATTGAAATGAAGAAGAAAGCAAAAAACAGTAAACAAGTTCCAAAGATAAAAATCTTATGCCACATTAATTGTTCCTTCAAAAATGATTGTGCTAGGGTTAAAACATAACGCCTCTTTCAGTATTTATGGGAACCAAAGGCTGGAGAGCTCATGAAAAAGTAATATGATCCTGGTACCGTGCCAACATGTACAAAACTGTAACGCCAGACAACATACCAACATTCTGTAGCAATAATGTCTGAACTGCTTTCTGCCAACTCACTTTGCTCGCTTCCTCTGCAACTTCATTCATTTCTGGGACCTGCAAAGAAGACAACACATCACAAGAAGTAAGAAGTTGGATTTCTTTTCAAGATTTGTTTTGTAAATAAAAAGGGTGCACGGGTTACTTTATAGACATACCATGTCAACAAGAGATATGTACAAAAACATTCCTGCGGCAAATCCAAATATGTAGGTACTGGCTTCAAATTCACCAAGGACAATACCAACAACAAGACCAAGGTAACAAGTGCAGGCTGACAAAAAATTGTACAGGAGTGCTTGTCGAATTGACATTCCAGCATTCAGCAATACAGCAAAATCACCTGCAAAAAGAACATTTTTTTCAATGTCACAAGTTTTTAGGCATGTAAACGAAATGTGAAAGGCAACATGAAGGTACACACCCAGCTCGTGAGGAAATTCTTCACACACAACAGCGACACTGATGCTCACACCAGTCAAAATACTCTCATTGAATGCAGCTCCAATAGATAAGCCATCAATAAAGTTGTGAAGCCCATCGCCAAAAATCACCATCCATGCAACTGTAGCAATGGCACTGTCCTTGTTGCGATCGAAAGTGATAGTGTGGCTATGATTGTTACTTGGATGCGGCCTCTAAAATTTGATAGAAGTTTCAATAGTCAAGTCAACCACCAACACCATCTTATTTTATGTGGTAGAATACGAGACGTATACAATACCTCAGTATGCCCAAAAGAAGCCTTGATAACTTGCTCTTGACAATCATAGATGGTACTCGGATCATGCATACAGCTGTCATTTACTTCATCCTGCAATGGTTAATGAAATTCAAACAATTTTTTTCTCGATCATCAAGCAATTACAAAACAAAGCTAAGATCTCACCTGTCGGCGTGATGGAAGTAAGCACACACTCGGTTGACTAGGACTTGAAATTGAAGAGACAGCTGAGAGCACCTTTTCCTTCTTGTGTTTTGCCTACAACAAAACCTCTGATTGATCAATATTAATTATGAAAAGAAAATGGAAGTACATTTCCAGCCTAATGAAAGCTAATTAATCAAATTATTATCAAAATAATTACCTCACGGCTGTCATGAATTATTTTGAGGATCCTCTCCACCATGAAGAAGACCCAGATTCCACCCCACACATAAAGGCAAATCGACAGGTACTCATGATGTGTGTCATTGTCCATTAAACTAAAAGCCTGAAATGATATAAGAATAATTACAACAAATCCCATTACTACTTTGTAATGGGAACAACATATTCTGTTTGAGGCACTTACTTGAGGTATTAAGTGGAAAAGGGAGCTCGCAGACAGAGATCCAACGGCTAGTCCAATAAGCATAGTCAAGAGTTGTTTGTAAAATGCCTTGTCCATTAAGGGCATCACACTCACTCCAAGCAGGGAGCACAGGGATATGATTGTCACAAAGAGGAAGCCCATGCCCCACACTGCTCACACAACAATACCAATATAATTTAGGTACAAAATTTAGAAAATTAAAATTATCCACTAGTTATGCTTGAGACAAAAATCTTACCTTGTCCAGGGGCTGGTCTAGTCTTTTGGTCCGGAAGAGATTCAACAGCATGAGATTTACCATCGTAACAAGAAGCGGTCGCTAATCTTTCCAACACAAGAAAGCTATCTTGTTGCGATAAAGGTGCTGCTCCCATCACATTTATACCTTTGAACAATTCTTCTGAGGTGAGGCATTGCTGATGACAGAAAATTTTCACAACTGACATGCAGACCGATAAATAATAAATAGGATGTCACAACCCAGGCAAATAAAAGTAATCAAACCTCTTTTTTTGGCAATGCTACACTTGAACAGTTGCTCAGACGATCCAGAAAATTGTTTAGAAAGTGTGGTGGCGATACCTCTCCATGACCCACACAGACAAGGGAAGCGATGCAAAGAAATGTTGCCAAAATCGCCATCATCTGAAGCACAGAACAATCAATGAGGTTGTGTATTAGAGGGGCTCCGCATCACCGAACTTTGTACAGCAGACGTGGAAACTAATCAGCTTATAAAAGGACTGACATGGGCAAAATTGCACTCCTAGCCAGTGGTCAGCACCTTTTATCTTCACACTACCTTTCTCATAACTATAAGAACAGAGCTGCTTGGTTTCCTGTATTTGATACAGGATCAAATTCTGAATTGAGACATGAATTATTGAAAATAAGAAAAGTTACCTCTTAAAGTCGTTCGAGATAAAATATTGGCAAAAGTATGTAATTGGCACAAAAACAGCAACTTGGCATTTTTGCCCTTCACTTGTGATATTTTTAAACAGGGTTCACCTTATGATGTGCGCTTGACAGGAACAATGTAGAGGCTAAACTGTGTCGCCCAACTTATAAAAAGGACGGTTAATCCAAAAGTTCAACCATGTTGTAATCGTTTGTTCAAAAATTCAAGCCACAACAAATTGCTGCTTGTTATTGAATGAGGCCTCGCAAGAGGTTAGGAGGGCCAGTCACAGGGCTCAAGACGCTACACTGCGAGTGCGACGCGCTGGTCCAGTGTACCAGCAAAACAAAACGAGGATTCAATTGTCTTGATTATGCCCTGACCTTGACAGTGTTGTTTCCCTTGAAAGAAGTTGTCATTCTGGTTTTTCCTCCATCGGGTCCATTAACCTCACATCCTCTTGACGTCTTGTTTTTTTTCAAAGTCTGCCGATAATGTGGGCTCTGTACAGTATTCGCACGACGGAGTTGCCCGGGGGGAGTAGGGACCGTTGACAGACGACAACGAACGTCAACAAACCTGCCGAACACATGGGTTTGTTGTTTTGGTGAATTTTGTTTGTCACGGTCCCAGTTTTATTGAATGAGTAACTTTCTTAGTTACTGCGATCAAAAATCTTCAAAATGGCGGCTCAATACAAGTAGGTGTTTGTTTATTTTGATTCTCATTTATCTTCTTGTGAATCCTTTGGCGGTGTTCTAACCTCTGTTTCCTAAAGATAATTGCCGCAAAATGGGCTAAATTTTGCCCATAATACTCACAAAAGTCCCCCACCTTCAAAATGAAAAAAAATCGCTGTTCAGAGTTTTTCCTCTCCAGATATTATAATTTATGAAATAATATAGAAGAATTGGTTGTAATTGTTGAAACTTGTGATGTGAATGTAACTTTATCACTTATGTATTGCAGATCTATTCACCCTGTCAAGTACTATCGTGACTTTTTAGTGAGTTTCTGTTTTATCCTTGATAAGCAGTTCTTGTATTGGACCATTTCACAGCATTTAGTTGTTTTCCAGGCTCAGGATGTAAGACCCGATGGAAGGACCCCAGACAAGACTCGAACAGTTACTGTAAATGCAAATTCAATTAGCACATCTGACGGATCTGCCACTGTAAGAATCGGAAACACAACAGTAATTTGTGGAATCAAAGCTGTAAGTAGTTTCCCTGGGATTTTCTCTGAACCTAAAATACTTTTCTGGATCCTAAGTTAATGCGTCTTACATCTGTCCTCATTCCTAATTTAGGAGCTTGGTAAACCAAAGGCAGATGAGCCAGAGTCTGGCTTTGTGGTTCCGAATGTAGAATTGCCACCTTTGTGTTCACCATGCTTCCGCCCTGGCCCACCCAGTGAAGAAGCTCAAGTTATGACTTGCTTTGTAGCCAAGGCCACATCAGGAATGGTTGATCTGAAGCAACTGGGCATCTCATTGGATAACTTGGCATGGGTGCTCCACATAGACATGATCTGCCTTGACTACGATGGTTGTGTGCAAGATGCGTGTGTGATAGCGCTGTCAACTGCTCTTCGCACGGGTAAATATTCCTATTATTTTTCTTTTCTCTGCCAGGACTATTAATTACTACAGTATTGTACGATTTTCAGTGAAATTGCCCAAAGTTGATTACGATGAGGACACTAAGACACCCACTGTTCATCTCAATCAGAGAACCAGTGTAGATGTGAAAAGTTCCCCTGTATCAACATCATTTGCTGTGTTTGATGAGTGAGTTGGACCCTCCCTATATTTTATAACACAATACTTTCTACGATTGTTCACTAACCTTGGTTTGCTCGGTGAATTTCAGAGAAATAATTCTTAGCGACCCAACTGCCGAAGAAGAAAGTTTATCTAGTGCGAGACTGACTGTAGTGACAGATGGTAAATCAATATTCTCTGTTCACAAACCAGGTGAGCTCACTGCTTCTTTCAAGCAAGTGGTTTAAAGTAATTTGTGGTCTGTCGCAAGTGAAAATGTCCTCATTTTTTTAGGTGGAAGCACTTTGACCGAGGTGCAACTACAAGACTGCATATCTATTGCAAAGGAGCGAGCAAATCTTGTTAATGAAATGATCAGGGTGGCTGTTGGTTCTGTGAAACGATGAGGTATGGACTCTAGAGATTTTCTTATTATAAACTGGAGAAAGTTCCATCCTTCTTACCATTACAATAAACTTATCTTCTGTATATTTTCACAAATAATTCTCTATAAATGTAGTTTACAATTGTTGAGTAGGATTAATTGTTTCCTACGTAGTAGGCTCCACCTGCACTGCAAGATCTAGAGGAGGAAATGATAAGAAAGGGCAAGCATAGTAGTGAGTGGCTAATTTGTCTTTGATGATGGACTTGTAATTTAAGCTTGATGGGCCGCAAATATTTTGATAATTCTAGTTTGGCAAATTTAATACTTCAGGAAACTTGTTTGACACATCCCATGAACTCAACATCATTGAGTATTAATTGTGTGCAGTCATAATTTTTTTTGTAAGTAAAAATGAGCACAAGATATTTTTACTTTGTTAAGAAGTTCTCAAGGTAGAGACCACTACACATTTCAAACTGCAATCTAATTTCTGATTGACACATCATGTTAATCTCTCTTTCTAAACTCTGTGTAACCAATGAGAAAAAACAAAAATTAAAAAACAAACGCCAACACCCTCTTGGGAGGGTCTTGACTGTCACAACCCGTTGATCATGTGAACGTCAAGTCCACATTAAATTGAGAAATTAATAAGTATCCCCGCTTTAGTTGCCAAAATAAATGGCTTAAACATGTATTGTCTTTTACTTGCTTTAAGTACTACCTACAACTACTTATAAAAAAAGGAAACTAGTAAATTAAGTTCATTTTTAAAAAGTCACAGTGATTTAAAAATAACAACTCAAGAATAATTAAAGGCACTGACTAAATAGGAGGTAGACTTCCCACCTTTAACAAAGGAATATTTTAAAATACAGTAACCTATGTTGGTCAAAATATACAACATGAACTTCTCATTCACAACTTTAAGAAAGTCTTAAAAGATTTTGGTAACAAACTCACAAAAGTTTAAAGGAATTAAAAACTCAACAGATAATCACAGTGGAGTGAGAAAGCCAAAAGAACCTTCCTTCACAAGGTGTTTGGCATCAAGAATAAACCTAGGGGCTATCTAAATACCTTCAGCAGAAAACCTCTCTTGGTTTTCAAGATAAACATAGAATCAATAGGCAATAATCAATAGCAAGTAAAAATCAAATTTGTAAATTCTAATCTTTCATTGCCCATTATCTTTCTTAAACTAAAAGCAACTTTATGGTTCGCTTTTAGGGATGTTTACATCAGTAAAGTCAGACGGGGAGCATGCTGATTGAATTCTAGATTGTGTAATTTCCATGCCCAATTTTCCTGCCAAAATTCCATTGACTTCCATGTTGTTCCATAATGTCGCCATAAATATCATGTAGCACATGAGTGCAGTTATGAATGGTACCAAGGGTGTGATACCCCATTCCACCCACAACATCGCTATTAGCACCAAAAGCAGAGCTACAGCCATCGTCCAATATTGTTTGCGATGACATCCTACTGTTTCTAGAGCTTTATCACAAATTTCCAAGCCTTTCTTCAACACAGCACATTGTCGTTCCAGATCTAAGCTCTGCCCAGCAATTGCTGTAAATTAAAATGACGCATAAGACACACTATTTCTCAATTTCTTTGTTTTCTGGTCCTGATGAAATGATCGATAATTACCATTGGCATCTCGAGTAATTTTGAATTTTGTCATCACTGCTTCATGGTCTGAGTAACTAAACGTTTCGCCAGGAACAGTGTCCGGAAGTGGTAAACTGTACAACTCCTGGGAAACCTGAAAAAAATAAAAACATAAAGCAAAATTGAGACAGGAAGGGTCAAAAACTGGTTTCCAGAATCAGTTTGGAGTATTTCTGAACATACCAATGTTGTAGATGTGACTTACCTGTGCCCTGTGTCCTCCTTTGAAGAGAATATAATCAATTCTCTGGCCATTTGGAGCTTTTCTTAGAACACTTGGTGGAGTGTATGAGTTTTGAGCAGTTCCAAAAGTTCCAAATGAAGTTTTGTTTTGCTGTTCAGAAAACAATTAATAATGTAACTGTACATACATAAGATTTAAAAGCAAATCTTCCTGTCTGCAAAGTGTCAAGAAAACTTACAGCTGATGGCTGATGATAAGAATCATGAAGATTTGCATTTAGTAACAAGACCTGGTAAGCTAGGTCATCAGGTTCTGTATTGAGATCACCACCTAAGATAACTAAGTCTGCACCTCCAGATGTCATGTGGATGAACTGTGCTGTATCAAACGCCTGGAGGACTCGGTGGGCAATGTATTCATCTGACTCACGGTCGTACTCTGCATGCAGCTGGATTTTACAGGGAAGCAAAGATGTGAATTTTTTTGCTTTGAGTATTTACAAAGGTGTAGGAGAACATTTTTAAATTCCAAGATACTTGCATGGGCAGTGTAGACATTGATGAGCAGGTCATTATAATAAATTTGGCAGAGACCAACCCCTTTGCCACCAAACCAGTCACCATGATGAAGTTTATGAACATATCCGTTTAGGGGCCATTGGTGGAACAGAACATCATGAATAGGAAAACGCGATAGTATACACACTCCGGAACCTGCTACCCCACTGAAACAGAATTTTTTTTTGATTACTCTCTGTATTATGTGGAAGCATTGTTTATGGATTTACACGTAGTAGTAACAAAATTACCTATGGAAATAATGGGAATAAGGAAGGACAGATTTTACTCCATCTCTAATCAAGTTAAAATCGTTGACTGTCCACACCTCTTGCAGCGATACAATATCATATTTTCCAGAGGCCAGCTCCTCGGCAATTGCTTTCATCCGTGCCTCTCGATCTTTGGATACGAGTGGAATACCCCTGGAAAAAGGGGGGGGAAAACACGAATGAAGACAAGACAATACAAAGGGTTTAGATTACAGTCTGTATGTATGAATAAATGGTGATTGAGACTGGCACAGAAAACGATTGAAGTATACGCTGGGGGAGGGAGAGCCAATTTTGGGTCATCACATAAACAAAACAAAGACATTTTTGTGTAAGAACAAACAATGATCCAACTGCCAAATCAGCAAATGGGCAATGTACTATTTATCCCAGAAACTTACCAACAATTTAGAGTTAAGACACAAAGGAAACCTGTCGTTTCCATAGCTACACGCTAAATAAACCATAGGTGTAAGAGCATTGAAAATGAATTAAATTTCTAAACTACAACAACTTGCTGGCTGGCTGAGTGCAGACATCTCCACCACCACCACCACTGTACGCACGCAAGTGTTATTCGCAGGCAGGGAAAACCTCAAGACGCGACTGAAGACATCAACTTCCTCGAGCTGGAAACGCTGAGGGATGTGGATCGTTTCGGCGATTCGGGACTTCCCCAACACATTCAAAATCCAATTCATTGAGAACCTCCTCTTCCGACTTTACGTTAGTGCGTCAAACGCACCAGTTTCTCCCGCTACATTGGCAACCTTTGCGAGGCCATCTAGAACCCGTTCGAAACGGCCTTTTCGTCCAGAGTGGTTTCTAGTCCCAGGCGGCTGTGGTTCACTCGTCAGTTGTGTTGTGAGCGGTGCAGTGAAGTGACGTGAGCGGTGTGCTTGTGAAAGTGCAGTGTACGAGTAAATCGCGAAAGTGTTCCGGAAAACGCACCTTTCCCTAGCCAGTGGACATTTTAACCATCACCATGGCAGATGACGCAATACAAAACGGGAATAACCATGCGGATATCCCGGAAATCGAGCTTATAATTAAGGTGAGTAAGCCAGCGCCAGTGACACGGGACTGTTGTTGCCCAGTTGAGTATCAATGCTCCTGTCCCGTCGCTTTTGAATGGCGTGGACCTCTCGCGGCGGGGGCGGTTTGGGCCGGACCCGGCTTCGAGTCCCGCTGCCGGCTACCCCTTTTGGAGCCGTTTCGGGTGGCAGCGCGAGGGTGTCAGTGATGTGGCGCCACCTCGGCCGCGCCGTTGGCGGGCGTTCGTGTCCTGGCCGTGCGGGGTGGGGCGAGGCTTGTACTCGGTACCCAGTACTCGCCAAGTACTCGCTGCTTCTCGCCGTGGAGTACTGTCCCGTGCGTGGGCCTCAACGGGATGAGCTTGGTCGTTTGTCGACTGCTGTGATGCACTGGGTCGTGCGCGGCGCCGGTTCGCGTCGTTTTGACACTGGCAGGTTAGCCCATTTTGGAGGTTAGGCTCTATGTTGTGGGGCATGACACCCAGTGATGTCGGTGGATGCACCTCGACTCAGTTTGGTCGCGTTTTGGGTTTCCTGGGCACGGGCTGGACTGTACCCCTGTGTTGACAGATGGGTGAGAGCTATTGGTTCCTGTGCTCGTGTTGGGCAGGAGCTCATGGGCAGCAACAGGTCTACTTCATTGACTCCATGCACGAAATCTCCAATTGAAGTTTATGGCTGTAATTTTTCACTTCATTTTCAATTCCTGTCATTAGTGTTAGCTCTGTGGTAGAGCGTTCTGTTGCGTTGCTTGGAGCTGTTAGTGTCTCGCCATGGAACTCCTGGGCCTGGCCCCTCAGTTTCCGCTGCGTTAAGTGGAGTTCAGTGTTCCCATTATGCTGCTATGTATTCTGGTACGCAGTTAGAATTTGTACTGCCTGTGTCTATTTTAGGCTAAATTAGTGTGGAACTAGGTCAGGACTGGGCATGACTCGAAGCATCCCCAGGTGAGGCCAGAGCAATGGGGACAGCCCAGGGCGGTTCCTGGTGCTCTCTTTCTGCCAGCAAGGCAACCAGTGTGTAAACAAACACATCGGCTGACTCGGGCCCCGAAGGGCAGTGCCGCGATGCAGTCCGAAATACAGAGTTTGGTGTTTACGAACGGGGCGGCGCGCTGGCGGCGCACAGTGGGCCAGAAGACCGGTGGAGGCGGCCAAAACCCTAGACGCGTTTTGAGCTCCCGAGTCGATAAACAGGGCTCGAACCGAACGTGTGACCCCACCAATGGATTCCACGTTAAGAGAGCAATCCATTGGTGGGGTCACACATCCAGTTTGAGTCCCATTCGGCGACTCTGGAGCTCATAAACGCGTCAAGAGTTTTGGCCGCGTCCACCGGTCTTCTGGCCCACTGTGCGCTGGCGCGTGAGGCGAGGGGGCGGGGCAGGGCGGGGCAGTGGAAGGGGAAGGGGTGTAACATCTGGCCGGCGGGCTGCGCAAGACCACGCAAGACCGTACCCTACCGCCACCACCAGACAGCTGCCCGGCGATGCCCGGCGCCGAGCTGCAGACCGATTCCGAGAGCCGTTTTCGTCGCTCTGTCTCTCTCGCACTCGCGGGGCGTCCCGTTGAGGTGCGAGAGAGACGGAGTGACGAAAACGAAATTGTCTGCTGAAGTTGCTGCAGCGGCCTGAGACCGTCGTCCAGCGTGCCTGGGGCTTCCCCCGGATGCGAGAACACGGTGGGCCAGAAGACCGGTGGAGGTGGTCAAAACTTCAGACGCGTTTTGAGCTCCAGAGTCGCTAAACAGGCCTCGAACTGAATGTGTGACCCCACCAATGGACTCCTCGTTCAGAGAGCAATCCATTGGTGGGGTCACACGTTCGGTTCTAGTCCCATTTAGCGACTCTGGAGCTCAAAACGCGTCTGGAGTTTGGTCCGCCTCCACCGGTCTTCTGGCCCACTGTGCGTTCCGGAGGAGTGCGAGAGAGACAGCGCCGAATCAATGAGCCTTTTGCCGCGTCAAAACGCGCTATGGCATTGCGGACCTTGGAGTGGGAGGACAGCAGACTGATTCTGATACTCGTTTTCGTCGCTCTGTCTCTCTCGCACTCATGGGGCGTCCCGTGTGCGCGAAAGAGACAGAGCGACGAAAACGACTCTCGGAGTAACGACAGCTTGATGCTCCTTGCTGCTGCATCAAGTTGAGCGCCTCCGCTGTACACTCGTGTCTTCTGCCGGCCGGCCGGCCCGTCCGTGTGAGGGGGGGGGGGGGGGGGTAACTTGATTAGCGGCTTGGAGGCGGTCGCCATCTTGAGGCATGAGGCGGGCTAGAGTGCTAGGCCACCGCGTACGGGCGTACGCCGAAGACAAGACGCGAACCGCCGCGCGGCGCACGACGACGGCGAGGTGGTCCCCGCGGCCGTCCGCAGGGTTGGCGGTGGGGCCCTCGACGGCGACCTGGCGGTGCGCGGTGCACGTCGGTGCCCCTCGTGGGGCCCTGGGTCGGCCGGCGCAGCCGAATCCAAAGTAATTGAAAATCGATGGTGTGGGCGATGAAGGGCCCCGAAGGGCTCGGGGGCAGCCAGGGCGAGGCGATTGAGAGCGTGGGGCCCAGCGCACAGTGGGCCAGAAGACCGGTGGAGGCGGCCCCACCGATGGATTGCTTTCCGAACGAGGAACGACACACGTCCGGTTCGAGTCCCATTTAGCGACTCTGGAGCTCAAAACGCGTCTGGAGTTTCGGCCGTCTCCACCGGCCTTCTGGCCCACTGTGGGGCGGTAGCGGCGGTAGCGCCGTGCCCTTATCCCTTGCATCAGCCCTTTGCGCACTCATTCACGGCCTCGCCTGCCACGTCGCCCTTTCTGTCTCTCTCGCACCTGTTGCCGCGCTGCCGCGCTCTCCGTCGCATTCGTTGCGACACGGGGCCTTATCGGCTAGCGACAAGACGGACCCTACACAGTGGGCCAGAAGACCGGTGAAGGCGGCCCAAACCCTAGACGCGTTTTGAGCTCCCGAGTCGCTAAACAGGACTCGAACCGAACGTGTGATCCCACCAATGGATTGCTCGTTCGGAGAGCAGTCCATTGGTGGGGTCACACGTCCAGTTCGAGTCACATTTAGCGACTCTGGAGCTCGAAACGCGTTAGTTTTGGCCGCCTCCACCGGTCTTCTGGCCCACTGTGCCTCTCAGGAAGCGGAGAGGCGAGCGGAGAGCCCTTCCTTCGGATCCTGAGTCATGTCTGCGGGTGAGTGGGGCGATACCCGAATACGGCGCCTTGCCGGGGACCCTATCTCGAGAACGGCGGGAGGTACGAGCGAAGCGCGTGAGCCTGCTTGTACTACACCGAAAACCCAGGGCTGGCCTGGCGCAGTGGGCCAGAAGACCGGTGGAGGCGGCCAAAACTCTAGACGCGTTTGGAGCTCCAGAGTGGCTAAATGGGACTTCAACCGATCGTGTGACCCCGCCAATGGATTGCTCTCCGAACGAGGAATCCATTGGTGGGGTCACACGTTCGGTTCGAGTCCCATTCAGTGACTCTGGAGCTCAAAACGCGTCTGGAGTTTTGGCCGCGTGCACCGGTCTTCTGGCAACTCCACTGCGCCGCGCCACTGCAGTGTGGCGTGTTGTGCGAACGCAGCCTCGGAAAGTGCGTGCGTTGCCGTTTCCAAGGCGCTGGGCTGTCTCTGTCTCTAGGTCGGGCGGGGCGTGGCGCGGCGCGGCGGCCCGTCATTGTGCAAGTGGTTGGACTTGAGCGGCCACCTTGTCGTATCGACACTGGCACACTGGCAGCGCCTAGCTAGACTAAGGCAGGCCTAGGCAAGGCCTAGGGGGGCCCCGGCCTGGCGGCGCGGTTGAGGTGGTGAGCCCCACACAGTGGGCCAGAATACCGGTGGAGGCGGACAAATCTCTAGACGCGTTTTGAGCTCCAGATTAGCTGAACATGACTCGAACCGGGCGTGTGACCCCACCAATGGGTTCCTCGTTCGGACAGCAATCCATTGGTGGGGTCACACGTTCGGTTCGAGTCCTGTTTAGCGACTCTGGACCTCAAAACGCGTCTAGAGTTTTGTCCGCCTCCACCGGTCTTCTGGCCCACTGTGCGGCGGCGCGGTTGAGGTGGTGAGCCCCCAGTGCACTGTAGTGGTGGCGCACTCCGGGCACGCCGTGCGGTGTGGACGCCGGCCGGATGTTTTGCCAGTGTTCCCGAAGAGAATGAGAACCAGATCACTCTGTAAAAATTCAAAAAAAAAAATAAATCCTAAAACCGATTCTGTCGCGAAGCATTTCCAGTGTTGATCGTTCAGTGGGTCGCACGACAGCGCATTTCAGACTAACCTTATCGTTTCGGTCTATTGGAGATAAAAAAAGGGGGAGGGGGGCTTCCTTGTCTATAATGGTTTGGCTGTGTTTTGCGCTATCTGCCCTGCAGAGTGTTGTATCAACACGCGGCGTCCGCCTTGCCGCTATCTCTCTCTGCCCCGATAGTTCTGCGGGAAGAAAAGATTAAATTAGAGAGAGAGAAAAAGAAAAATGGCACGCGTCGAAAAAAAAGCCGTGGCGTGCACAGTGGGCCAGAAGACCGGTGGCGGCGGCCAAAACTCCAGACGCGTTTTGAGCTCCAGAGTCGCTAAATGGCACTCGAACCGAACGTGTGACCCCACCAATGGATTCCTCGTTCGGAGAGCAATCCATTGGTGGGTCAAGCGTTCGGTTTGAGGCCTGTTTAGTGACTTGGAGCTCAAAACGCGTCTAGAGTTTGGCCGCCTGCACCGGTCTTCGGGCCCACTGTGGCGTGCTCGTTTTCGCATCGGTGTACATCGCATTGCTTATCTGCAGTGTTGGCGGTGTTATGGAAAGCAGAGGGGAGGGGGGGGGGGCTACTCGTGTGGGAATCTGCAGCACTGTTGCAGCTGCGTGGCTGTCTGCCGGAAGAGAGAGAGAGAGACGGCTGAGTCTTTTGGGGGGAAACCGTCCCAGCACCCTGAGTCATGCGGTGACGTCATCGAGGGCGGATCGACCTTTGACTGCTTTCTCGATTCCCGAACGGGGTTTTCTGTTCGGCCCGGCGGCTAGCCG